TAGCTGGGACTACAGGCGCCCGCCACCTCGCCCGGCTAATTTTTTGTATTTTTAGTAGAGACGGGGTTTCACCACGTTAGCCAGGATGGTCTCGATCTCCCGAACTCGTGATCCGCCCGTCTCGGCCTCCCAAAGTGCTGGGATTACAGGCATGAGCCACCGCGCCTGGCCTTTTTTTTTTTCAAGCACAGTCTCACGCTGTCGCCCAGGCTGGAGTGCAGTGGCACAGTCTTGGCTCACTGCAACTTCTGCCTCCCAGGTTCAAGTGATTCTCCTGCCTCAGCCTCCGGAGCATCTGGGATTACAGGCATGTGCCACCAGGCCCGGCTAATTTTTGTATTTTTAGCAGAGACAGGGTTTCAGCATGTTGACCAGACTGGTCTCGAACTCCTGACCTTAAGTGATACGCCTGCCTCGCCCTCCCAAAGTGCTGGGATTACAGGCGTGAGCCACCGTGCTCAGCCATGTACCTCACTTTTTAATTATGTATTTACTTATTTTATTTTTCAGAGACCAGGTCTCACTCTGTTGCCAGGGCTGGTCTTGAACTCCTGGGCTCAAGCAATCCGCCCACCTTGGCCTCCCAAAGAGCTGGGATGAGAAGCTCCTGCCACTGTGCCCGGCCCTTTGCTTGTTTTTTTAAACTTAATAATTTATCCTGGTGTTTCCCTGATACCCGAGGGGATCAGAGCTCTTCTGAATTCCTTCCTCACTCCCGCGTGTAGTTGCTTTGTTTTTCCTGGGCCGACACTGGAAAGCTATCCACGGGCACAGAGGGTTTGGTGCTCTGTGGTCACTCTCTGGCTCCCTGCATCCTTGGGCGCTCCCTCCATCCTCTTCCCTGCCGAGCTCACCGCGCTGCCTCCTGCCTCTTCCTTCCCAGCAGCGGGGGCTCAGGGGTGAAGCTGTTGGGGGCCTGTGTCCCCACCCCCCAGGATGGCTGCCCCCTCTCTCCTCTGCTCAGGATCCTGCTGACACGGAATGGTCAGCGCTTCTGCCTCCTGCAGACGGTCTTGCTGGCTCCAGGACTGAGCCTTGTGGGTGTTGGGGCAGGAGGGGTGGAGCGACTTGACCACTAGCAGCCAGCACTGTCCACAGGGTCTGGCAGTGGTTCGGTCACTTTTATTCCTGTCTGTTGAACACAAGCTGATGGAATTTAAAGCAGAATTGACCTCATTAATTGAGCTAGAATGATTATCATCAGGTTGTTGAAATAACAGTGCGTTTGGGTTACTGCGGCTCCAACTCGAGCCTGGCACCTGCTCTTTGCGAAGGCTGCGGGCACGAGGGAGCTTTGGTCTCCTGGGCTGGAGGGCGGCTGGGCCACCCTGCTCACTCCTCCTTCCACCTGCAGCCATCCTACGACGTGCTCCTGCTGCTGCTCCTGCTGGTCCTCCTGCTGCAGGCCGGCCTCAACACGGGCACTGCCATCCAGTGTGTGCGCTTCAAGGTCAGCGCAAGGCTGCAGGGCGCGTCCTGGGACACCCAGAGCGGCCCGCAGGAGCGCCTGGCTGGGGAGGTGAGTGGCCTGCAGGGGGAGGGGGCACTGGGGAGGTGAGTGGCCCACAGGGGTGCCCAGCTGGGGAGGTGAGAGGCCTGTGGGGTGTGCGGGCGCTGGGGAGGTGAGTGGTCCACAGGAGCGCCTGCTGGGGAGGTGAGAGGCCTGCGGTGGGGACACCTGTCCTGGTGAGGGCCTCCAAGGGCCACACACCACGACCCTCGAAGGCTCCTTGTACTGCTTTGTATTTTTAAAAACGCCCCAGAAAAAACCCGAAGAAATAAAATGTCTTTTTCTTTTTCTTTTTTCTTTTTTTTTTGAGAAGGCGTCTCGCTCTGTCACCCAGGCTGGAGTGCAGTGGCACGATCTCGGCTCACCGCAACCTCTGCCTCCCGGGTTCAAGCGATTCTCCTGCCTCAGCCTCCCAAGTAGCTGGGACTACAGGCATGTGCCACCACGTCCAGCTAATTTTCCTATTTTTAGTAGAGACAGGGTTTCACTATGTTGGTTAGACTGATCTCGAACTCCTGACCTCGTGATCCGCCCGCCTCGGCCTCCTAAAGTGCTGGAATTACAGGCGTGAGTCACCGCGCCCAGCCGTAAAATGTCTTTTAAAAATACAAACACAAAGCCTAGGTAAGCGCAGACCCACCCCTGGGAAATATTCTGGACTTAATGCTTTCAGATTTGCTCTCAGAGACACAGAAGAGTGCTTTGTGGGGGCTCCGGCAGGTCATGGTTTCCTCCCCTGGCTCTGGTGGGGACACGGTTCTGCAGGGAAGGCACTGCCCACCCAGCCTGGCACGTGGGGCTCCGTGGAGCTGGGGTGTCAACACCTTCTGGCTGTCACGGCCTGAAAAATGTTCCCCTGGGCCCTGCCTACTGTCTCGCTGCCCTCTCAACTGAAAGGCGGAGGCTCAGCGTCTTCCCCACACTGAGCTACAGGTCCTGGCGGTGCCCCCCTGGGCAAACCTGCCCGCTGACCCTCAGGTGTAGTGACCACGAGGACGGTCAGCTTGATGCCCAAACACCTGGGTGGCCACTCAGCACGGCTCTGAGTCCTGCCCACCTCCAGGCCACCCTCTCAGCGCGGCTCTGAGTCCTGCCCACCTCCAGGCCACCCTCTCAGCACGGCTCTGAGTCCTGCCCCACCTCCAGGCCACCCTCTCAGCGTGGCTCTGAGTCCTGCCCACCTCCAGGCCACCCTCTCAGGGGGGCTCTGAGTCCTGCCCCACCTCCAGGCCACCCTCTCAGGGGGGCTCTGAGTCCTGCCCCACCTCCAGGCCACCCTCTCAGCGCGGCTCTGAGTCCTGCCCCACCTCCAGGCCACCCTCTCAGGGGGGCTCTGAGTCCTGTCCCACCTCCAGGCCACCCTCTCAGGGGGGCTCTGAGTCCTGCCCCACCTCCAGGCCAGCCTCTCAGCACGGCTCTGAGTCCTGCTCCACCTCTAGGCCACCCTGGGCGGACTGGCCACTGCTCTTGCCCTGCATACCCTGCTCTCCTGTGTTCGGCACACCACCGGCCTCAGAGTCTTGGTGCAGAGCCTCCAGTGCCCGCTAAGTCCTGGAAGACGCCCTCTTGCCCTTGGCTCGTTTCTCAGCTGACCCAGTCGCCTCCACCCTCCCCTCTCCCCACTGACATTCCCTTCACCTGCCTCCTCAGCTGCTTTGCTGCTGTTTTGCCTGGCTGTGGTCAATCTTCCTGCTAGGACGGCAGTCCCTGGGCCTGAAATGAGACCCACCTGGGTTTCTGTCATGACTAGCAAGGCCCAGAGTTGGATGCATGAGGTGCTCTCCCCAGATCCCAGAACTGCTCATCCCGGGGCTCAGGGTGGGCGGCCGGGACCCAGGGTGGACGGCCGGGGCGCAGGGTGGGCGGCTGGGGCTCAGGATGAACGGCTGGGCTCAGGTAGTCAGCTGGGGCTGGCGCTGTCCTCCCTTGTGCCTGGAGGCATCTGGTCACCTCTGCCTTAAGTGTTTTCTTCCTCGGCCGTCAGGCACATGTCCACCCTTGGGAGGCCTCTCCCGCCCCCCGCCCCAGAGCCAGGGCAAGGGACCCAGTGAAGGGCTGCTCCATCCCAGGCTCCGTAGACACCGCGTGTGTGGGGACACGGGCGTTGCTGGGACAGTGAGGGAGTAAAGGCCTTTGTCTCTTTCCATAGAGGCCCAGGGGTTAGTTCCCCCACTTCCTTCACATTCAAAGAAAACTTCTGAAGTTAAAAGAATGCTGGCTGCTTGCTGCCTGTGGCCGAGTGGCGTGTCCAGCTTCCCGCCGCACAGGTGGTCCTGGTGAAGTAACACCTTTCCTGTCTCGGTCGCAGGTGGCCAGGAGCCCCCTGAAGGAGTTTGACAAGGAGAAAGCCTGGAGAGCCGTCGTGGTGCAGATGGCCCAGTGACCCCCGGATGCAGAAACTGGGTGGCAGTGCCCAGCCTGGCCCCAAGCACGGAAACGCACAAACCCTAATCGCCCCGAGCTACTGCTTCTAACACCTCTTTTCCCCTGTGTGAGGGCAGACCAGGCTGTAGTGGGGTTTTCGCTTCCTAGGGTAGTTTAATTTTAAAATAGGCCAATGTTGGCTAGTCTGTGTTTCAGTCAGATCAGTCAGTGCCAAGGGCTCCCGTGTCCTAACAGCAGGAGCATGGCCGCAGCTTCCCAGGCCGAGGAAGGGCCCCCTGGTTCCGCCTCTGAGAGCCCCACCGCTGAGCAGGCCCCAGCTCCGCGTCCTGCCTCTCTCATGGCCTGGGCTAGAGTGGGCTCTCTGGACCTGACCAGGGTCAGACTGTGGGTCCCTGCGTCTCCTGCCCCCTCTGACCCGGCTTCTTCCCTCCACTCTTCGGGTCTATCCTGGGTGCTCAGTCAGCCCAGTGGGATCTTACCTACTTCCCTGCAAGGTGCACCTGCCCCAGGCTCAGCCTGCCCAGCGGCTCTTCCTGGACAGTGAGAACAAGGCTGGGCACCTCTGTCCTGGCCCGGGAGCCGTGGGGGCCTCTCCTCCAGAGCCCAGGTGCAAGTGACGTGGGCTGCCACTGCTCTCCCAGGTGAAATCCACACCGGTCCACACCGGGTCACCTGCCCTGTCTTCCTACATAGACCCAGTCATTCTAGAGGAATCCGCCGCCACAGTGGCTGGCCCACGTCCCAGGCACTGCCCACATCCTGGGCACTGTCATGCCCAGCTTGGAGTGCCACGTGGCCGCTACTGTGATAGGCAGTGTTCTTGGGGGTGGGACTGCATCTAAGGCTTTGTAAACGGGCTCGACCACGTCTCCCTGGCCCCGGTGACTCCCTGGCCCCAGTGACCGGGGGAAGCTGAGCCGCTCCCTTCTGTTTGCTCCCATTACTCAAAATGCAGGACAGATCAGGTCAGAGCCCAGGAATCCTCACAGGTTCACCCAGCCCCCTCTACCTCCTAGCAAGTACTTTGTCTTGATCCTCACTGAGAAGACCCCAGGGCCAGTGGTCTTCTCCATCTCTGCTGTTTTGGGGTCTTAGGGTACAGCCCAGGCGGTCACTGCCCACCTGCCAGACTGCAGGGACAGTTGGGTGTGAGAATAACACTGGCTTTGGGCAGTGCCATGGCCAGGAGTGGGTTCCCTGCGTCTCCTCTTCCCCGAGGGCGCCTGGATCCTCCCAGTAAATCTGCAGTGAGTTGGGGTGACTGTAAAACTAGGAATCTTGTTATTTTGGCCATTACTTTCCAGCAGGTGTTTTTCTTCACAGTGGTTTTGTTTCTTTCCTTCTGGTCTGAGAACACATGAACATTTTCTCTTTACTGCCTTCGGGTGTATTGACTGGTCCCCCATGGGCTGCTGGAAAGGCCCGGAGATGCATTCTGTGGCCTGGGGCCATCAGGATCAAAGAACCAGGAGGCCTGGGAGATGCAGTTGGATGGGGCTGCCTGCTAGGGGGTTTGAGGACCCTCCCAGGTTTCCCACTGCTGAGCAGGAGTAACTGTGGCTGCCAAGATACCTTCATGGTGTTCACAACAAGTGGGATCATTATTTTCCACCGTTCAAGGGGAATGCAGGCAAGACGTCCCCCCAGATGCTTCGAGAGGGGACAAGCCAGTCCCTCTCTGCAGCCCTCAGCAGCTCCAGAACGACAGAGACAGGGGCCGGGCAAACGCTTTGGCCACGGTCCCAAACAAGTGCCACTGTGGGAGAGGAGAGGCCACCCTTCCTGGCACTGGATGCAGACCCCACCCCGTCTGCAGGACACTCCCACCTCCCTGCAGCTTGGAGGCCGGTGGGGTCTGCTCCTGGGAATGGGGTGGGAGCCACAGGGACAGCACTGATGTCTTCTTGGGGGTAGACCAGAGAGCTCAAGTTTCAGAGCCAGAATTAGGCACTTGGAGCGTTTTTACTGGCTTTCACTTTCTTATTTTAGAGCGCTTAAAAAATCCGGACAAATGGGGTTTAAAAGAACTGTCTCTTTCAATCTACGTTTTGGTTTAATACGCTTGAGCAATAAACACTGCCCTGTAGATGTGGCTGTGGCTGTTTAATGTTGGGTCTCAGCAGGGTAAACCTCGGGACACAGGGAGGAGGGCTGGGTGAAGGGAGGGCCAGCTTTTCACTCACTGATTTGCGTAACCCCTAGAGGCCAGTACAGGGGGCTGGTGAGAGCCCAGTGGCATTCCTGGGGGAAGAGGGAGGCAGCTGGGAAGGAACCACCCCGGCCAGGGGACACAACCACTCCCTGCCCCTCAAGTCCCCCACCAGTCCCTTCAGAGTCGGGGCAGAAACTCCCTTTTGGGGTATCTTGGGAAGTTAAATGCAAAATAAAGTTGATTTAAAACCAAAGACATCTAGGCTTTGGAAAGTTGCCACGAGTGAGGGTCCTGGTGGGACGGGTGTGTCTTTCCTACCCCCACCCCGAGGTGCCGGATGAGACACGAGCTACCCCTGGCGGGGTGAAGGGAGAGTGGGGTGATCTGATCTGCGGGGTCGGAGGGGATAGGACACGGGCCGTGTGGACCTGGGTGGGCTCAGAACACCCGGGGGACAGCGGCGTGGGACCCCACGAGTGGTTCTGCGGGCACCAAGCCCCCCCCAGGTTCCACCGCAGGACGGGGGCGCTGCTGCGGTCACCCCATCGCCCCCAACAACCA